TCCCAAACTCACAAGATGCCTTCCTTACCTAAATATATATATATATATATATAAAGTTAAATGAAGCATATAAGTTTTCTAAATATTTATTCCAGTCTAATACTAATATCATTCTTCAAAGGAAATGCATATAAATAACACTATCAAAATAAATATCATACACAAGGAATATTTAGACAAATTAAGAAAAGATGGTCCCAAAAAATTCTATTAAAGACCATTCACAGTGACAATATGGAACTCTGATTTATCTAAGAAAACACTATATATATAAACTTATTTAAAATTACTCTTCCTTAATCTCCCACCAAATTCTTGTACTATTTTGTTGAAACTTTCCCTACTCAAGCCAAGAAGAAATTTAAGTTATCCATGTCATGGGTTTTCACTTTAGGTAGCTAACATTTGTATTTTGCACAGTTTGTTGTTAGAGTTAAACATTGTTTTGTTTTTTAACCATGGGCCAACCATAACTACAACATTCAAGATACTCCAAAATATACTTTTTTTTTTAATAGGTTTTATTTATTTGAAAGAGACAGAGAGTGAGAGTGAGAGCAAGCATGAGCAGGGAGAGGGACAGAGGGAGAGAAAGAAGCAGACTCCTCGCTGGGCAGGAAGCCCGACATGGAGCTCAATCCCAGGACCCTGGGATCATGACCTGAGCTGAAGGCAGATGCTTAACCAACTGAGCCACCCAGGTGCTCCACTCCAAATTATATCCTTAAGATATCCCAAATTGCAGCTTAAAATATTTATAATCACTCCTAAGGAATCTCAAATCATACAACCACTTTTAATCATAAACACTTAATATTAAAAAATTAGTCACTGCATCTACAACTTAAGTCATTCCTGAATGATAAAACTATTAAGAACAAGTCCCTGAATCAAACCCCCTAGTGAAAACACCGATATGAAACAAATTCTGCTCTCAGGAAAATTTTTCGGCCCTAAACAAATTTTAAAAAAGCAATCAGAATTTGGGACATAACTTCCTTGCTCTCTACGTGGAAAAATTGTCTTTATTGAAAGATCCTAGGAACGGAACCAGAGACTATCCAAACAAATGTCTCTTCAGAACATACCATTTGAGTTGTCACCTCCAACTACATATAAGAGTTTAGGGAGGGGTGCCTGGGTGCCTCAGTTGTTAAGTGTCTGCCTTGGGCTCAGATCAGGGTCCCAGGGTCCTGGGATTGAGCCCCACATTGGGCTCCCTGCTCAGCAGGAAGCCTGCTTCTCCCTCTCCAACTCCCCCTGCTTGTGTTCCCTCTCTCGCTGTCTCTGTCAAATAAATAAATAAAATCTTAAAAAAAAAAAAAAGAGTTTAGGGAGACAATATTCATTTTAATGTATTTATTAAATGCCTATTATATTGCAAGAAACTGTGCTTAGCACTATGAAATAATGATGCCCCCATGGATCTTGTGGTTTACTCAAGAAAACAAGACATGCGTATTAATTAACAGCACAAAACAACATATGATTAACTCAATGATATAAAATGTCAAGAGAGTTTGGAGTTGGGATAACAGTTCATTCTGGGAAGATTAGGAAGCCTTTATAAATAAAAATGTCACTTGAGCTACATAAACTAACTGGAGAAAATGTGGGTGGTAAGGTACTCCAGATGGAAAAATTTTCAAAAAGGTGTGGACGTGGAAAAGTAGACTCTAGAACAAAAGAGTCCTGCGGCTGAAGCTTAAGATATTCAAAGGGGAGGAGGGAAGGAAAATTCTACCTAAGAAGAAAGTCTGAGGAACACTGGTGAGGAAACTATTGTTACCTCTCAGCATCAGTAAAGAACTAGGAAAAATACTGACTTTTTTAAAAAGGACTTTGACTTCAGAGGAAATAAGAGGAACTGCCTTCATTACCCCTAGTCACATCCATTATCATTATTATTTTTTAAATCAGGGTAATATTATTTCAAGGACTGAAGATGACAGCCAGAGTCCCAAACTCACAAGATGCCTTCCTTACCTAAATGAAGCACAGCCCAGGTGATTACCTGCCTCTGAGCTGGAAGCCCACCAAGGACAATCACAGATTTCTCAACCGCCTCAATACAATTCAACACATGATCTCCAAAACCACTCTCCATACAAAATAAATGGCAAAATGCAACTTACTTAAATTTAATGAGAATTTAATACACAATACTATGTATTGTTTGTTAATGCTGAACCTATTTTCACATACTTTCAATAATTTGTGAAGTTACACCTAAACTTGATGGTAAATCTTAAGATTAAGGTTATCTTGAATGAGTTTCTTCTAGATAAAACCACACTGTAAGAATGCAACACCCAATATGTTGCTTACTTATTCTTTTGTTCTACACACACTCACACACACACATTCTCTCTCTCTATACAAAGGTCAAATCAGCTTAGATTTCTAAAACAGGACTCCTGATAACAAATGGGCAGTTGAAGGTGAAAGGTGGAACAAGACCAAGTATACAACTCATGTAACTTTCCACTTCAAAATGACATGGAAAATTACACTTGGCTTTATTCCATTTTTCCAATTTTTATGCAGGTATTAAAAATATCAGTCTCCTAAATCACATTTTCACTTCTTGCTAGGTTAAAGTTTAATTTTACATTTCTATTAAACTTATCCACATTTTTAGTACACTAATGAAATCATTCAAAGAACTAAAAAATCCTACTAGTTTTACAGGTAGATTTATCTGTTTTGATACATAAGAGTATAACATTTTAAGAGTACTTAGCAACTTCTGCAAAATCAAATTCAGAGATGCAGCTTAAAAAAAAGAAGGAATAATTTGAAGAGGAAGGGAAAGAATTTTCTTATAGGTCTGGTTGGCTTTCTAAGATGGGCTGAACAAAATTAATATAACCAATGACTGTTCCTCTGGGAAAGACTTTTTTTTTTTTTTTTAAAGAAAACTTATTAAATAAGTAGCAAAAGAAAAAAATGGTTCTAAATTTCAAGAGTCACTTCACTGGGATTGTGGAATTCATAGCATTGGTGCTAAAATATTATTAGAAACAAGTTATCACCTTTTAGCATATTGAATAGATACCTGAGTGACGAATGAAGTATTTTGTCAAAGAAGAAATCAAAAGTACATATACAACAGAGGGTATCAATGACAGAAGAAGAAAAGGAACTCCTGCTCTTTCATTTACTGCATTGTACCTGCCATGAACAGTAGTCGATTTGATAATATCCCCAGGTAGCACCACTGAGAGTTCAATGTCTTTATCTGTTGTGTTTTCTTTCTGTTCCATGATGCAAGCAGAGGATTCTACAGGATCATCAACTGAAGAGGCATCAACATATCTGGTCTCAGCTGGAGGACGTGGTGCCTTGGCTTTTGGTTTTCTCCTTAAATAAAAACAAAACACAGAAAATAAAATCTATCGATTTTTAAAATAACTTTCTAATATGATCTAACTTAGTAAAAACACAATGTGTGTGTCCATGTTTTTCACATCTAGAAAAAAAAGTGCACCAAAATGTTTACTGTGTATTAGAGATGTTGGAATTAAGAATTTTTTTTTTGCCTTCTTTAATTGGCATTTTCTTTTGTTTTCAACAATATGACCTCATCATTTGGTAATAAAAAGAAACATGATAATAAACAGATTTGATATTCACCTCCATTAAGTTCAATTAATGTGGTTTTATTACAGTAAAGCAAGAGTGTAACATTTTCTTTGAGGAGATAAACTATAAAAATCCTTACTGTGTCAGGATGGAGATCAGCATCTCATTCTCACACCTCAAAACAGCTCTTACCTATGTGCCTTTCATTCTATTTGTTTCCAATCTATTGTGTTCTGCCTCTCTATCCAGATAACCCCTACCTACTCTTTGAGGTCTAGCTGAAACTACCCTCCTCTCACCCCTCAACATAGACACTCTCTCCCTATATAGCATATACAACAGATTCCATAAATTTAACATCTTTTCCATTTTTCCTGGGTATGTTTCCTCTCTCTGCCTACATTTATAACTCCCTGCAAGAAAGAAGCATGCTTTATTTTCCATTGCACTTAGCAATAAACAATGAACTGTGATTGGTTATTTGATAAAATATATTTCTGCTTCAGGGAAAAAAATTCTATCAATAATTACTCTAATAAATGTTACAGTGTCACTAGGGCAACCTCTTAACCTATTTATAACAGAAACAGGTAGTAGACGTCCTGAAAAAATTCACATGGGCCAATTCAATGACTTGATGGGTTGAAAAAATAAAACATAAAAACAAATATAAAGTAACTACTAGTAATGACATATACCTATTTTTTTTAAAGATTTTATTTATTTATTTGAGAGAGAGAATGAGATAGAGAGAGAGAGAGAGCACAAGAGGGAAGAGGGTCAGAGGGAGAAGCAGACTCCCTGCTGAGCAGGGAGCCCGACACGGGACTCGATCCCAGGACTCCAGGATCATGACCTGAGCCAAAGGCAGTCGCTTAACCAACTGAGCCACCCAGGCGCCCGACATATACCTATTTTTAAGTAATGCAAATTAAAGCTTTTAAAAATGTTGCCTTTATGAAAAGCTAATTGCTTTTCAAAGAATAACTACTACTGCTTTCCAGAAAAAGATAAAGTTTAATTCCTCCCTCTCCCCATTTCTTACACAAAGTAAAAACCAAACAAGATAAAAGAGCTTCTTTATAATAAATATGTAACATCCACCCATTTAGTATTTTCAAAATTTAAGGTCTCATAAATCCAAGCACCTTTATGCACTTGACAGCACGAAAAGCAGAAACAAGTTTCCTACACTGTACATTAATTTTCTAATAGCCCTTCAATTTTTAAGAATATAATTGCAGAGATATAATGCACTTGAGAAAGTATTTCTTTTACACTAGTGACAAAAATGAATTTTTAAAAGTTACAATAAATTTAACACATTTATAAAATCTATATAAAGAAAAACTATCAAATTTCAAAATGTTTTTAATATGTAGAAATTAACTACTCATGTATTCAACATACAATAACCCTGTAACAGACAATTATGTAGCAGATTCAGCTAAACACTGGGGATGTAAAAATGGTAAAACCCAGTTCCTACCCTAAAAGAGTTCAAACCTCCAATGGACTGATGGATAGATACAAAATCATGATAAAGTTTGATGATTGCTCCAATGTAGGTACACAGTTGATGGAAAGAGAAGCTCATGGAAAGAGAAACTTTCCTAGGAACCCAGAAATGTCTTACAGATGGGAAACATGAGTTGAGTTTAGGGGAATGAATAGAAACTCACAGGAAATAAAACAAGAAATAATTGATATTTCAGGCACAGGACATCAAATGGAGCCATGAAAGAAACTGGTACTTCACAGAACTGAACAGTTTGGTAAAAATACACAGAAAAGTCAAAGGAGGTGAGAAATCAGTGAATCGGGGCGCCTGGGTGGCTCAGTTGGTTAAGCGACTGCCTTCGGCTCGGGTCATGATCCCAGGGTCCTGGAATCGAGCCCCGCATCTGGCTCCCTGCTCGGCGGGAGGCCTGCTTCTCCCTCTCCCACTCCCCTTGTTTGTGTTCCCTCTCTCTCTGTCTCTCTCTCTCTCTGTCAATTAAATAAATAAAATCTTTGAAGGAAGAAAAAAAAAAAGAAATCAGTGAATCAATTTTTTAAAACTTTGATAAATAAGAGAATTCAGTAAAGCAGCTTGGTATATAAACACGCTAAAGTCAATGGCCTATATAAACAAATGCAAAACTAGTCAGAAAGTATAATAAAAAAAACTTATTTTACAATAGCAACAAAAATGGATCTTAGAAAAATTGTGAATATATATAACAAGAATTTTGCAAAATCTGTATGAAGAAAATTTTAAACGCCAAATATTCACCTTGGATCTCTCCCTTCAAACCCAGATTTGTAAATCCAACACCTACTTGACATCTGGAGTCATATGACTAACTGGAATCTCCAACTTAATTTAACTTCCGATTCCTCTTCCCAGCTCCTCCAAACCAAATCCTTTTCTCTCCAAGTCTTCCCATCTCCGTAAATCACAATTCTTCCAGCTGCTCAAGCCAAAAAAATCCCCTAACACACAGAGCTGCAATCCAATCCATCGACAAACACCTCTGTTCAAGCTGCTAAGCGATCTCCCAGCTCCCAGCATAGCCACTTTACATTCTATTCTCAACATAGCTGCCGGAGGGATCCTCTGAAATCGTTAAGTCAGATCATCACACTCCCTCTCATTCCCTCCAATGACTTCTGACTTCACCCAGAATAAGACCTGGAGTCCTATAATTTGTCCTCTCTTACCTCTGGTCTCTCCAATTTCCTCTTTCCCTGGGATCATGGCCCTCCACTACTGTATCTCTTGCCCTTTCCTTGAACACACCTAGAATAATCCCCACCCCCTCTATTTTTACATTCCTGACTCAAGATCCTCACAGGGCCTGCTCCTAACTTTAAGATAGTACCTCTATTTGTTTTATTTTTTTCCTTAGGGCGTATCAGCCAGTAACATACTTGTTTATCATGTCTTCTTCCATTAAAGAGTAATTAATTACATGACAGTAGGGACTGCCCTGTGTCACACATATTTGCAAATGCATAGAATTTCTGGAACAATGCCTGCCACACAGCAGACACTCATTTATTGAATGAATGAAAGAATGTTTACATCAGTGATTATTCCCCACAAAAGAGGTACCTAAATGCATATAACTGGGAAGAAAAAGTTGCCCCACCAAGGAAGAGAATGAGTTTTTACATCAGAATCACCTGTTGGGTTTTTAGACACTGATTATATTTTATTTTTAAGACGATGAGTACTAAAAAATACACATGGGATTTATTAGCAAGAAATAACTGGGAAACTGAGGGCTTTAAGGGTTTCATCAGGAAGGCTGAAGAGAAGCCCAACTGCCACAGGCAGGGAGGTAAAGCAGCAGGGACAACTCTGTTCACAGTGGACTTGGCTTCAGAGAGTGGCAGTACTGGGGTCTGACAGGTACCTCCTGCTGCCACCATCCTCTGCCCAGAGCCGGCCTTCATCACTTCAGGCACTATTTCATCTCCAAATGTGGCCCATCCCTCCCCATCCTCTCTACATTTACACATATTCTTTATCCTTCAAGGTCCGGAGTGAGTCACAATTCCCTGGGACGTCTTTCCTTTCTACTGCACACCACAACGAACTCTGATTAACAGTTTTAACGTTCTATGTGTGACTCTTATTTCTTAAAGTACTTTGAGTCTGTGATGAAAACTCATCTTCAATTACTAAAGATAAGCCTACTTATAAAGGGAGAGCAGAACAAAGCACTAGTTAAAATAGTAGTTACATAGAACTTCTATTAAGAAAATCTTGGGGGCGCCTGGGTGGCTCAGTCATTAAGCATCTGCCTTCGACTCAGGTCATGATCCCAGGGTCCTGGGATCAAGCCCCATGTCTTTAGGCTCCCTGCTCAATGGGAAGCCTGCTTCTCCCTCTCCCACTCCCCCTGCTTGTGTTCCCTCTCTCACTATGTCTCTCTCTGTCAAATAAAGAAAATCTTAAAAAAAAAATCTTGGTGCTCCCTATTACTCAAATAATAAAGTATTTGTCACGTTTGGCCGTGGTAATTGGAAAGCATATTGGTCATCAGACCAAGATCTTCTTACAGTGAACCAGAAATTCAACTAGGGTAGATGCAATGTCTAAGTAATTATATAATGAATTCAAAGGAAAAATTAAGTGTCATAAAATAGATGAGTAACCTTAAAAATTCAGAGCAATGAGAGCATGCTGAAACTAGCTTTATGGGGGTGGGAAGATATACTTCATAGAGAAGAGATATGTGACTCAGTTCTTGAAAGAAAAGTAGACTTTAGGCAGGCAGAACCTGTAGGGTCATTTATATGTTGGTTCTTTATTGTGATCCATTTACATTAAATTTGGGAATGTGTCTGCAAATTAAAGTTTGCCTACTACACAATGTAGTCTAGCGAGAAGAATACTGGGTCGAGGCCTGGATTTGGTCTGAATCCTGAGAAGCTTTTAGACTTTAACAGCCTTTTATTCACCAGCAAAATTTTTAAAATACCTTTTACCTTCTCACATCTCTTCCAATGTTCTAAATTTTTTGATTGAGATGCTCTGAAGCAATAACAAAATTAAATGTCACCCAAAGCCAAAGGTATAGTGAAAATAATCAAAATTTATAACCTAACCCAGGTGTAGGAAATTCTGGTAATACCAAAAAAAAAAAAAGACATCAACATGCAATAACAATTATAATTTACTGCTTAAGAATACTAGTTTTCATGAATATTTTAAAATCACAGTAAATGTCACTGAAGTGCCCCCATCCCTTTTATTTTTTTAAGACTTTATTTATTTGAGAGCAAGA